AAAGAGTGTGCGGTGGGGTGAAGGCTGTAGAAAAGACTTCTGTTTCATTTTTGCAACACGAAACAACTGAATTAAAAAGAACGAGCAATACATTTATTTGAAAATCCAAATGCACAAAGTAAATTCACATGAAAATACAGTATTTCTTCAACCATTACAATCAATATTGTAATGCATTGAATTTAAGTCCGTTTTAGGATAAAGTGGTTGTTAAAAAGGCTCAAAACCTTAATGTTCTTTAATCTACTTCTGTGAATGGGTTTCTGTGGGTCATTTATTTTCTGTGAAGCCATCGAAGCCACCAGGCAATGACCTTCCTATCACCTGTAAATAAATACTATTCCTCTTATCTAATTGTGAAGAAAGCCACATCTAAGGTTCAGCAAACTCTATATAAAGCCTCCAAGTGATGGGAGGCTTTGTATACAGCTTGATGCTTGCCCATAATGAACCTAGTAAATTTGGTTTCCTGCCATAAAAATAGTAGGTGAAATCATGGCTTATTGAAGTCAATGGGAATTCAATGGGAATTTTAGCAAGGCCAGGATTGCAATCAGAAAATCTACACAGCAATCTATCAGTGATGGAAGGAGGGTAATCAGTGTAACAAAGCCTTCATCCCTGCTCTAATTACTTGCTGGAGTAAGTAATTCCTGCTACTCCTGAGATGTGCTCACAAAAACTGTTGTTGCAAAGCACTGAACACTAAATATATACAAAAGCATTTAAGGAGTGATTCAGAACAGGAAAATCAGCGTTGTTGATGTAATGAATCAGTCGCGTATTCAACCCCAGGCTGTTTCAGGGGTGAGTAACTGAGGGCAATGACCCAGGACTGCGTATCATGGGGAACATGCTAGACTGTGATAAGTAAGAGTACAAGTCATCCAATATGCCTTAATCTCTGTCTGTGTCCCTGTGAGCCAAAACCTGCTGCTCCCCACAGAGGCAGACAGATCTTTCATCCTTTATATGATCCTTTATATGAAGTGGATTTAAAAAAAATGCAGCAAAACATTCAGTAAGAAATATGAATGTCTTTTTGTCTTCTGTTTTTCATGTCTCTAGCCTGCTTCTCTTCATTGATGTGTTATAATAACTGTTTTCATTGTAGGAAAAAATAATTTATTGAAATTTTGTATTTTGCTGTATGAAAATCAATAATTTCACCTCCTAGAGAGTGGGAAAGAGCTTTAAAGATAATCTCAGTGACCTCCAAAGGTTCAAGATCCAAATAAAATTTCTTAAATAATTATTTTTGATATCATGATTTACCTTTTGATCTGTTGATCTTTTTTCACCCGAACTATCATTCTTAAAATTTTACAATTTATAATATTATGTAAGCTTCTTGTGAAGAGCTCAAAGCTATCTAGTATAATTGCTCTTTTCAGACTATTCTCATTTCCAGGAGGTGCAGCTACTACACCTCTGCAGGGCACAAATAGCACAGATGCACTACATGGCCCACATAGAGAAAGCCACAGGTGAATACCAGGTGAAAAATTAGAAGTCCTCATATAAGAGTACAAAATTCTGAACCAGAATACGGAGAAGAGCAACAATCCAGTTTCTGGAGCTCATAGTGATTATTTACCACCAAGAAATAGTGTGGAAAATAAATATAATAGTTAGAAGGCCAACAAGGAAGTAAGGGTGGCTAAAAGTACACCATTTGATGTGAAAAAAGCTTACAGGCAAAATCTAAAAGCATGGTAGAAATATGATGGACCTGAAAAATCTTTCTTGAACTAGTTTAATATCTACAACATTTATTTCACAATAACAAACTTGAACTGGGCAGTAAATTTACACCAAAAATGGGAAATGGAGACATCCACTGCAGACGTGTTCTTACTGTACACAAAGTTTTTCTCAATTATTAATCACCCTCATTTTAAAACTTTTCAGAATATTCAACACTAACCTTTCTTTTACCTCTTTCTTTACCAATCTGGAGGTGTTCAGCCCAGAGTGATAACCTGGAAATTCAGAGAAATGTTTTTGTGGTCCGAAATTGTAGAATATTCACTCATTTTACTTTCAGCCAAGATGAATATTCAGTGTTTTTCCAGAGTGGAGGTATATTAAAAAAAAAAAAAAAGGAGGTGCATCTAAATGATCAAATTTGTAACAAATCTTTTTCATGGCTCATGCTTGGCTCATCCACTGATGTATAGTAGTTGATCTGCACAGGAATGTTTATAGATAAGATGAAAGTGACTTTTCTTATTAATCACACATTGTATATTTAACTCCTGCTCCTTTCCTCAGTCTTTAAATCAACTCCATGTGGTTCTTACTGTACAGAAAGGCTTATGTTTCACAGTGAAACATGGCTGCTGCAGGAGCTGGCCCAACTTGATTAAAAGTGAACTACTAGGTAAAGCACTGGTTGCTTAAATCTGGAATCACCTACCAATAAAAAAGAAATACATGACCAGACGCAAATTCAAACGGAGGACCAAATTGTCACTGGATGTAAATTGGCTTAGCTTCAGCTGGTTTCTGACAAATATATTGAAGCCCATGTTCTGGGCTGCCTTTGATTTGTGCTTTGCAGAGCACATCAAGCAACATGCCAGAATGGTGATCTTATAAAAAAGAAACAAGGTCATCATGTTCTAGATTCATATCGAGTTCACTGACTTTTGTGGCAGAGTCAGGATCTAGGTAGAAGAAATAGAATGACCCAGCCTATGTCAAATAAAGCAGATGAAAACAAAAACAAATGATGAAACCCAGTTTGTTTAGAAGGTCCTTATTCAGCTTCTGTTCAACAGACTGTAAATGTAAGTCAAACAAGAAAGTGAAAGCAAGGCAGGAAAGCTTTCTATATTGATCATTCCTGATCATTAGTTTTCTTCTGTTTTTCCCATTACAATGTTGCCATTCCCTTATAATTTCTGAGTATTCATTACTGAGTCTATGAAATACTGTGAAAATCTGAGCTGAGAAAAACCCACAGCTGAAAGACTGTGAGAGAGGACACAGGACATGTGAGGTAGGAAACTGTAGGATCTCTTCCAGGAGGGACTCAGTTAGCACTTACATTTAGGACCTGAAATTTCCCTGTGGTGAACTATGTTCTTTCTTTTTTTTGAGGGGGTTGGGGATTGGATTTTGGAGCTACCCACACATATTTACCTTCAGATATTTACCAAATCCTTGACATACGTCAGGGTAGGTGGGTTCATTCCACCTCATGCCATATGGCTGTGATACTTGGGAAATTATCAAGACTTGGTGATTGAAAGGGATCCTCCTGGATAGCCAAATCCCTTCCCCTACAGTCACAAGGGGATGCCCCAGAAGAGTTGAAATTTCCTCTTCTGGAGGAAGAGGATTCACAACGACGTATACCCATGAAATGATAATGCCCAAGTTTTACTCTAAAATGCCAACGTTACGACTTCTTTTCTTCTCCAGCTTGAGAACTACATTGTGGAGAACATGAAATCAGAGATGGCCCAGTTGCAGCAGAACGCTGTGCAGAACCACACGGCCACCATGCTTGAGATCGGAACCAGCCTCCTCAGCCAGACAGCAGAGCAGACGAGAAAACTCACTGATGTTGAAACCCAAGTAAGTTCATAGAGTGGTTTGTTGGAAGCAGAGAATTGACTGAGAGAACCTTCCTCATCCTCTTTCTTTTCCAACACAGGGTTTTGTAACGCGGGGCTCCAAGGAACAGACACGTTTCCTGTTTATTGGTGGCAACAACAGTGAGGGTCGATCCTTGTTAGGTGGTTTTCTTTGGATTTCATTTGGTCAGTGTATTTAGCTCTGTGTATGTGTAAGGCAGGCTGAACTGGCTAGGAAAATAAAGCAGCTTTTAATTTCAAATAAACAGTCCAGCTACCCACTGTGAATTATTTAAGTGTCAAGCTAAATGCTTTCAGGCAAAAATAGAGACTTTGATCTACATTATTGTTTACGTCCTTATTGTTATAAGAAGGTTTGTTTATTTTCTACAAAAAGTTTCCAGCTACTTGAAAAGTAGTCGACTTCTGCAGCTTTTATGCTGCAAAAAGAGAACTTAGTAAAGTTCTATTTATTTGTTATTCCTGTAGAATTTATATGAGCACAAAAATCATTGTCATGATTCAAAAAATAAGGGTATCACTATCTTAATGCAAAGTACAGTTTTGTACTGGACTATTTCTTATTACGCTGATATATGTACTCCTTTTTGTATTTTGACTTATTCTCTCATTTCTACAATGATCTTTGTAGCAGGCATCTACTTACCAGGTGAAATGAATTCATTGTTCATTTAAAATAAGTAAATTCCTGTGTTTCATTTATTTTGTCTGTTCTAATGGACTATGCAGTTCTTGAGAGATTGTATTGCCTGTCCTAACCTTGCTCAGGTTTACAATATCATTACCAAATTATTACATAATTGCATTCCATTATATTAAGGAACAATATATTAAAGAACATAATTAAGGAATTATGAAAGAATAGAGGTGTTCTCATTAAGTTTAGCTAGAAATTATAGGCAAAAGGTGTCACTACACTGTCCTACATGTATACTCTGTACCTTTGATTTTCTACAGTTTGATTAATAGACGACCACATACTCTTAAAAGTTGTGAGCTCAAATGTCCACTTCTAAAAGATGATGTATTGACTTATGAAACATTAGAGTTTATCTTTTCCAGTATCAACAGAATATTTAAATGTAGGCATAAGAGGTGAAGACTATAGTATCATATTCTTAGCAAGGAAAATTAGATATAGGAACTTTCCTTTATACCACAACTGACCTGCTTAGGTTAAAGTGTCATGTATTCATTCGCTGTCCCTTGACACAACTAGGTAAGAGACAAAACACGCGTTACCTCTATCTCACTTCTTCCCCTGAGGAATCAGATAGAGGCAATTCTAATCAGAGAGTGGCTGTGCAAGGGGATGGAGGGCTCCCTCCTTCTCTATCTATCGTTGAAAACTTTAAAGAAAGCTCAAGTGGGAGGTCTTCCCTGTTGCAGTCCTTGCTCTAGTTGATCCAGATCATGCCAGTAGCCATTCCAGCTTGGTGGCAGCATTTTCCACCTCCACTCCCTCAGCAAAAGTCCCTGTAGTTCCTGGCTCTTTTAGCAATCAGAAAACAGTGGTGCGGGTGCTTCAGTAAAGTGAATAGAGGCTGCTATTGGCAGTGATGGAGGAAGCCAGAGCATAGCAAAGAGGGGAAAGTCAGTGGGATGCAAGGAGGAAAAGGGCAGGCCAGGATCTCATATCTGTAGTGATGAGTAGAAATAACAGGGAGGGTGCTCCTACACACCTGAGTAAGGAGGAATCAAAAGTACAGAACACACAGAGCTTTCAGCTCCTTGAAATCTCAGACTCCTCTCAAGACCATATCCATCCAAAATCTAACTGGTTCACTTTAGGTTCTCTTTTCCATCTGAAGCTCTATTGGCGTTTTGCAGTTTGTTTCATAGATATATCCTTTAGAAAATTACTGGTGCCTGTCTCTCTAGCCCACGCAAACCATTAATCAATTCCTTCATCAGTGTTCTCCCAGATCTCTCTGAAATTCCAGTGATGCCTCCTGGCCAATCTGAATATGCCCATCTCTAACCACAAAAAATTATTCATACTGATTAATTCCAACTTTTTTTAAATCTCTCTACCCTTTAGAAAGAGCAAATCACTGAATGAGTATTGAGAACTTCAGGAAAACATTTGCTTAAATTGAATTTGAGTGCCAAAGTTTTTACTTTCTGAGGTACAATTAGGCATGTAATAAGAAAATATTACCATATTATCCTATGATGACAGGGATAAAAGCCAAGGGGACCTGACAGATTCTGTTAAAAAGGCATCAATTGGTTACATCTCAGCTTTTGTGTGCAGAAATACCTATAAAACTATTCATACACACTCCTCAGGACCCCATGTAATAAAAGATGCTATATCAATTAAATAATCATCAACATTCTTGACTATTGTGTTCACTTTTGAACTACTTTTATTAGAATATGTTGTCTTTCAATTAGCTGGAAGGCTTGTTTCAGTCCATTGTGCATATTAAGGCCCTGTGCTATTGACATAGAGTGCCACTAAGGTCAAAAACAGCTCCATAAAGGAGCTGCAATGCAGAGGACCACAGCCTTCATCTCAAAAATCTGTGTAAGAGTGCAAGTAGTGCTAAGATAAGCAGACAACAGTCTTCTGCCAACATGGCAAGAATAATCTCAGGGGAAAGCTGTAGTAAGACCTCTATTTACAAACAGCGGATGCAACACTTTGGCTTCAGAGCAAGTACTCTAGCACTCTCCTGATTTAATGTTTTGTAGGAATGTTTGAGGCATGCCTCTTGTTCTTCCCATTGCAATAAAACTTATTTAGTAATCACCTTTCCTTCTTTTAATGGCCTAATGTTATTCTGAAGGGTTCCAGAATATCAGCTGGTAGATATCAGCGTAGCTTGACTAAGTTCATTTGGTACAGCTGAGCAGCTAAGGTTAGGAAATCAGGGCTATTTTTTTTTTTCTTTCCCTTCATGGATCATCAAATCAGAATGAAATGGTTGTGTTAACGCTTCTGTTGCTGTAACAGCACTATGTAAACTTTGTCTTTTATGTTTTTATTGTTTTATTTAATTTGTCATTCAGGTGCTAAATCAAACATCCAGACTTGAAATTCAGCTACTGGAAAACTCGCTATCTACATACAAGCTAGAAAAACAATTGCTACAGCAGACACATGAAATCCTCAAGATTCATGAGAAAAACAGGTAAGAATAGGTAGTGGTCTCTTAAACTCTTTTTCTATTCCTTTAAAAGTGCTATCTGCATGCATAATTTTAATCTCTTAATGAATTGGAAGAAGCTAATATAGTAAGCTGAAAGTCTAGGTAATATCTGCTTTCCTGCTGAAAAGGTGTCAACCGACTTTGTGCTTCACAAATTGAAAAAAGCAACTTGATTTTTCTTTTAATGCTTTCTCATATGTAATGTAACTTTGCATCTCTGCTTCATGACAAGGCAGTCTTATTTCCCTAGCTCTTGTTACTGAAAGGTGTGAAGATAACTTGTATGAGCATTTTCAAGCAGACAAACATTAAGAATAAATTATGAGATTATTGACTAATTTAAAATGTACAAAAATAAGAAAATATTTTGAGGCTTATCTTTCTACTGTTAATTGATATGAAGATCCTGTAGAAGGATACATTTCTTTTTTTGAAAGTAAAGTAATATTTCATAAGATGTTGCACACATGGAGCTATGTCTGGCTAGAACTAAGTTTTCCAGTATTTGCTGTACTCAATATTGATATAGGAAATAATTATATTTTCTAATTGTATTAAAAGTGAGGTAGTTATTGAAGGAAATCAGGGCTAGCTCAGTCTATTGAAGGCTCAGTCTATTCCTTAAATGAGGATGGGTTACTGAGAAGTGTACCATGGTTCTACTGCTGCACCAGAAATTGAGTCAGTAAAGATAAAACTGGGTGTTATATAAAAGGAGTAACAACACCATAGCACTCTAGGCAAGAAGCTATTGGAGATAGAAGGCAAAAAAAAAAAAAAAAAGATAAAGAACAGAAAATGTCTCGGGGAGATGTAGTTGCTATTTGTTATTAAATTGTAAAGCCGATCAGATAATTTACCGTTAGGGCCATTGGTTATGAGAATTGACAAATTATTCAATCTAACAACTGTCTACAACCAGGCATTATATCAAATATTATTCTGGAGAAGTTAGATCATGCTGAATACTCTTGATCTCCATAGATTTCCCCTGACCAATTGGAAATATGGATAGATTGCTATGGATAGATTACTGTGGGTACTATGGATAGATTAACACTGATTTCTGTTACCTAGAACTTCAGTAATTCATCTAAACTGCATGTGCAAGCTATCCTTGTAGTGGCTGGACAGAGTAGACATGTCCAGGAAGATGTTTATTTTTGCATGTTTTACATACCTATTTCAGTTTGAGATTAACCCAAACATTATTTTTTTTCTTTCAATGTAAGTAAATACTTGTGTTGTTATCTGCTGCAATCTGGTTCCCCACAAAAATTTATTGACAATGTTCAAGAGACTGAGTCATTTATGTGATGTCTTGTGTACTTAATAATCTTTATTTATTTATTTATCTTAGCAACGTGTCAGGGTGTAAAGCCTCATGTCAATAAATAAATTTGACTTGAACTGACCTTTGGCTTAACTGACATTATGATGAAATGGTCTGCGACATGACAAAGTGGTCTGGGTTGGTCTTTAGGGAGGAGAAAAAAAAAGGAGAGTATGTTAAAAAGCATTTTTTACGCTCTTGTTTTTCTCAGCTAATAAACAGGAAAAAAATTACAAGGAGAATGAAGCAAAGACCTGATACACACTTTCTGGGTTCAGTTGCTAATACTTTTCTCGAGAGTTAGAAAGCTAGAGAAACGTTAGTGTTATAACTACAGTAAAATATGAATCATCAGCTTCTGTAGTATCATCTAAGTCTGACAAATACCTCATAATCCTGGCCTTTTAGATCCTGATCCTAAAATTGTGTATGCATGTGTCGAGGTCAATACAGGACTAGTCTTTGATATTGTAAGATATTACTAGGCTGAACATGTCAATTTTTTGGTTTATCTTTAACAGCATTAAGACTGCCCATTAGGCATTGTTCAGCTGAAAGGTCTTCATCACTCTATATATCACTTTCCTTCAATAGAATAGGGAAAAGTCCTTCTATTTATGTTGCCTACATGACCTGTAATCTTTTTCTGAAAAGGGCTTTTCATTTGCAGTAGGTGACTACCATAATGGAAAATGATATTACTATTATAATCCAAAAAATAATCAGAACAGATGGTGTTCTATGGGCAGATCATTACTTTCTCTGTGTTTCGATTTCCTCTATGATCATGATCTTAATCACTTTGGGAGAACTAGTTTCTGGATAAAAGAAATGCAAAATATAATAGGAATAATAAGTCACTGTTGATGTAGTACAGTAACTTTTATATTATCCTTAAAGAAAATGAACACTTCCTATCAACAAGGGACCAGTGTGTGCTCTTTAGACTAGAAATTTAACTATTCTTGGCCCAAAACCCTTTACTTCCTGCCTCTGCTGGGAAGAATGGCCAATTATTTTTCTTTTTATTCCACTGAAATGAACGATATTCCATGGCATATAAGTGGAATCACATTTGCCCTAGAATCTTGTTTCTACTGCGCGCTTTCATGCCATAAATAATTTAGTCTTGTGGGTTCCCACCCACTATACTGTAAATGGTGGTTTCCTCTATTGGCCTTTTTTCCCACAAGAGGTTTTTAAAAACTACTGTAATTTATTATTGAAAGATTTCCTTGCTTAAGTGTCTTCCTGTGCATTTTTTTTCCAAAGTATAACAGCTGCCTTTAATTGTGTCCTGTTTGTTTCAATATGCAAGTGTGACAGTAACTTTTTATTTTTCATAAAACAAGAGGATAAATGTAAATATGTATCTTCCCTCAGTAAATAGTAGAAGTAAAATTTAAACTTATAATCCAACTTGTGTTTGCAGAAAATTAAACTGGGCAAATATGGTCAGTACAAAACCACTTTATCATACAGAAGTAAATGATGCAGGAATAACTTTTGAATCTCTGCTTGACTGTGTCAAAAGCAAAGAGGAGGAAAAAAAAACATGTAAGGATTTTCATGTTTTACCTGGAAAATTTTGCATATACCAAAAATAAATGCAGATTTTTCACTTCACCTTTCTGATTTCAACGACTAGTCTTATCACTGGTATAAAAAAAACAGACTTACTGAGGCCAACTGGTGAGGAGACTTAAGAGCAGGAATTTGAAAGTCCTTAAGAAATATGAGGACACCTCCTTAAACCTTTCAGACCACCTACTCAAGTTAGAGCAGCCAGCACCTGACAACAGAGGAAGTTTCACTCTTGTAAAAGCAACTGCAAAGCAGCTATCTCAATGAGAAAATACCAGCTTTGCACTCAAAAGGAAGCCTTTAAATCCTCTACCTGTTTGTCTTCCCATACATACATAATACAAGAAAAACAGATCTACATGGCCAAAGACTTTTTCCTTGTGTAATGTTTTTGTCTTTATTTATAGAATACCTCAACAAAGTAAATGATTTTTATCTGTATGTTTAATGTCTATTTTTTGTTGTTTTTGTTTTAAGATTATTTTTAATGTGAAAGAAGTCCACCTCTAGGATCTGGTCTATATCCTGTTCCCAACAGTCTAAACTGAGGCCTCTGGAAGGAAAGATTAAAAAAAAAATCTGAAACTTCCACTGTCTGGAATGGATTAGTGAATAAACTACATGCCTTATAAGGGAGATTGTCCAAATCAAACTTTTCTTCCTCCACAGAGAGCTACAAAAGTACTTTCTACATGTTCTACTTCATCACCTTTCAAAATGACAGCAGCTTTCCCTCCAAGTTGTGCTTTGACATCTGTCCTGGCCCTCTACCCTCTCCTTTTTGGGTTTTTGGTGCATAAGCTTTTGTGCACAGCAAGTTGCACTGAGGTGTTTCCCTGGCTTGGGTCCTAAAAAACTTAACACTCCTCTTGTCTGGTTGCAAATAGGCTCTAGATTCCTGGCCTCGTCAAGGTCAGGAGGCTGGGCAGAGAGGTAAGGTTACTGAAAAGAGCAGTAGTCTTTTTTTTTCCGCCCCCATCTTCCCCTAGTGTAAATGTAGAAAATGTCTTTTAAACAAGAACTCCAAAGGTTGATACCAATGGATAATACCAATATCTATCCATCCTAATAATAACATTTATTTCTTCACAACTTCATTCTGTTCCCAGAATGTCTGACTGTCCTTCAAAGTGCACGGTGCATTTATATGTATGCACGTATATATGTCTTTGTGCATATATAGAGTTAATTATGGCAAATAGTAATTTATTTTTATTGTGTGCATTTTAGTTTCCTTGATTGCTTTATCCATCTAGATGAGCAACATTTTCAAATATATAGGAAAATAATACAGCAAACTTGCAGTAAAAAGCCGCCAGTCATTACATCATGACCATGCCATTGCTGAAAATTTTTATGAAGTTATATAATGTAACAGTTTTGTTCAACACTCACAGATTGCTTGATTAATTAGTGTGGAGAAAGCCTTCTCTTTGTTTTTTATGACTTCTTTTATGGGAAGTGCTAATTTCTGAAAGCTAGGAGAAATATTTCCATTTTAAGCCCATCTTGATAGTGTCTCCTTAAAAATTTGATAAAATAATTGTACCAACACATTTAGTAAAATTGTTCCTTCATGGTACTTAGTTCTTAGAAATTGTTTAATGGGGGAAGAAGAAAGAAAACAGAATGGTCCAACAATCCCTAAAATGTCTAAATATCTCTGTAATTAATTTCAAAATCAAACATGAAAATTTTCCCTAGGGGAAAAAAAAGTCAGATTCATATATTAGATATATGTTTGTATAAATGAACTGTAAATACAGTACATATGAAAATCCTAGCCACATTGGAGTCAAAGGTCATATGAGTGGCTTGTCTCATGCTATTTAAGAGTGTCATCCTTCAGAAACAGGCCAGTGCAGAAGACTCTACCATATGTGAATTTTTCACTTTTTTCATTATGAACAAAGATTTCTCATTGATTCTTAGTAAAACAAAATGAAATGTAGTTGTTATGGATCTCTCACGGATGTATAAGGAGTGGTCCTATCCTCATGAGTTCTTATTTGTTGTAGATTTGTGTGTTGTATATCTGTGGAAAGATTGCTGCAGAAATGCCTACCCCTTCTTTAAAATAGCTTAGTTTTGCCATTTATAATGACATTTAATCTACTTAGAAAACTAAAGTAACCAAGTGCTGTTATACGCTCAGCTTTCTACCACATGTTGTTGATACAGCACTCGTAAATATTAGGATATATTATTGCTAGAGCCATAAAACATCTGCTTGCTGTCTCTCTCAATTGATGCCAAACAGGGAAGCTCTAAACATTGTTAGCCTCTTCCTTCTTGCTTGACGTGGCCAGTGTTACTACAAATAAGACTGTCATCACCATGACTTCATTTACTTGAGTCTTAAGAGTATAGTGGGAAACAATGCCTGTATTGGGGGTGGCCAAGGCCCCTTTTTAACATAAAATCATTCAGATGTGGACATGTAGATAGGAGGTTATAAAATTAGAGCACAGGTCCATACTACACTGCGATGGGGATGAAGATATAGGGAACTTATTTAGTCTTTCTTTGCCACTTCACAGTAAAGCAATATTCTCATTTCAAGAATGGCACTGTCATTTACACTGAAAATAAGCAAAACTTCGGGTGGATCATAAGATGGCAAACTGACACGCGGCCAGACCTAATTGCCCTTGCATGGTGTCAACCTTGTTCTTGTCCAAAATTCATTGATATACCTGATCCTCTATCAGAAAATCTGAAATGCTTGTTTTGACTTTAGATTTTAATAATTCCCCTGAAAAAGTTGACAGAATAGATAGAATTCCATAGAATATTTGGATTTTGATGAACAGTGTCAACCTGTTCAACATTAGTCTGAAATTAGTCTGAAATTCTGCATAATACAGTTCATCAACTTTCACATACCAATTATAATAAATAATAAATCAGCCCAAGGATCCAGGGTATAAGTGTATCATTTTAATGAAAGAGCTCAAGGGATGAAAAAAATCAATCATGAGTCTGACAAGGTGTTAAAACAGACTATGATTCTCAGTTATAAAATCGGTACTTTGTTTGAAATGGAAATTTTCTGTGGTCAGTTTTGAATCACCTGAATCTTTTTATACCTTTGTTACTTATTAATGAGTCTTTTAGAATATGATATCATGTTCCCTCTTTTATTTGGGAAAGAAACTAACCTCAAGAGAAAGTTCTCTGCTTTCCTATCCTTTCCTCTCTCTCTCTCTCTCTCTCTCTTTTTTTTTTTTTTTCCCCCCCCTCCTTACCTAGATTTCTCTTGTTTTCACAGAATTGGATTTGTTGATCTTACAGAGTATATTTTCTTCTGTGTCTCTGCAACTCCCACATTTATAGTGTTTCAGAAAAAGTGATTTGCTGTTTGGTTTAGGTATCTTAAAAATATATACATATACATACATACATACATATATACATATATACATATATATAAAAAACTCCAAATTGTGTAGCAAATACAGGATATCTTCTAGAAACAACTCCATATGGGTTTTATTACATTTTTCAGTTAGTTTAAATGACCTGAAATTATGCAGGCATTTTGCCACTGATCTATTATCCAGAAGTAAAAACAAAAGTGAGAGGAGAGTGAAAATGAATAAAATCCCAGTGTGACCTGCAGAGAAAGAGGTTTGTTGGCAAATTTGTAACCAAAAGTTGGTCTACGGGCATGAGAAGCACCTCTTCTGCCATACACAGTGGAATTACTTTCTTTTCAGTATCAGAGGGAATTAATTCATTTTTAAATTTTTTTTTCTGTCAAACTTCCACCATAGCATCAAAGAACTGGCTAGAAAAGACTTTTTGTTCAGTGGTGACATATATTACCATCCTTTGTAATTACAGTTCCTCTAAACTTCCATATATATAACCTAAAATGCCTTTGATCTCCTTAAGTTGCCCACTTTTGACTCAGGACAGAGATGGTTCTAGGAAAAGTGTATCAGTCAGGAGAAAGTGTTTGCATACATGTATGTAATGTATAAAATTATTCATAACAATAGTGAAAGAAAGTCTATTATACTAGTATGCTTTTATCTCTGTCTCTCTCTCTGAGGAGCCTTTTGTGCAACTAGAAAAGAGGGGATAGAGGATCTGTATGGTTTCAAAGAAAGCGCTAGGTCCTTAAAAATGCAGATGTCTGGTTTATCTTTTGGGAAAACAATATTCTTCTTAATATGGAAACAGATACCACTTACCTGGTGTGCAGCTGCTTTCCCAGCTTTCACAGAGCAAATGAAAGGATGATTTTTATCTGGATTTTATCAGGATCCCCTGATGGAATTGCATGGTTCCTAGCATTTACCTCCTTCCTTCAGTTTCAAGGCTCTTTACAAACTCTTCCATAACTCTTTGACTTTTGTCTCTTATCATATTGACCCATCAGTAGCATTTTCTGCAATGTCCTGTTCTACTCTAGGCCTGTCTGCATAAACTACAGCACACAAATTTTACAAAATATAGTCTTAGAGAATTGTTATGCTTGGGTACCTGATAGAGTGCGTGAATTGACTGATCATTTTAACACTGTTAGAATAGATTATTTATGTACTGAATTCTATGGTGAAAAATAAAATACCTCTTTTATGTATTAGTAAATATGTTGACTTGAAATGATATCCATTAATTGTTTTACTTTATTTTAGTTTATTTGAGCACAAAATATTAGAGATGGAAGAAAGGCATAAGGAGGAACTAGACACTTTGAAAGAGGAAAAAGAGAACCTGCAAAGCTTGGTTACCCGCCAAAGCCACATAATCCAGGAACTTGAGAAGCAATTAAACAAGGCAACAAGCAACAACAGTGTCCTGCAGAAACAGCAGCTTGAATTGATGGATACAGTTCATACTCTAATCAGCCTCTGCTCCAAGGAAGGAGGTAAGAAAGCAACATTATAAAACATTAAAAGGAGTAGTAAATTCCCTCTGAAGTAAGTGCTGTGTTTTTGGAGAGGCATGATGAACCTACTGCAAAACAGAAAAGTACGTTATAATTGAGGACAAGGAGCTATTGAGAACCGAGGAATCAAAGCAAGGTTCATGCAGAGCTAAGACTGGCTCTTTTACCAGCAGTCACATTTTGACTTTAATTGTATTGAGGTGTTGTACCATGACCTTAGCCAATGTAGGCCATCACAGCGCCATTGACTTCAAACTATCAGTGCTTATTTCTCCAAACATCAGTCTCCTTCTGTTAGGAGCAATCTGACCAAATGTGGGCATTTCTTTTAAAGGTGTCTGCCTCTGAGTTGTTTTAGACTTTCTTTATAATCCATGGAGAAAAATGGGCTCTAAATGAACAAAAGTAACCTGGCACTTTATACATGTATGTGGCTTATAAAGCAATGATGCAGGCATTTATGGTGCTGTAGTCATCTAAACTTGTGAGGTAACTCATCTCTTAAATGAGTTTATATTTGTAACAAGGGATCAATTTTCTCTTTTCTACCTCACTAGAATTTGTTTATTTGTTTTCAGGGCATGTTAGGACACTACAAGGAAATATAGAAATGATATTTCTTTGAAGAAGGGATAGACAAAGCATCTGGTACAATTAATAAACTGTGTAAGGAAAGTCAAAAGAGTCATAATTGTCTACATGTTAATAGGTTTTAAGAGTAGGTTTTATATATGTGTGCACACAATTTTAAAATCCCTTCTCGTGAAGTTTGCTTTTGTTAGCAAATGTGATTCTTGAAGATTTTTTTGAGAAAGAAATGTAGATGGAATTTTATCTTTCAAATACTAACGACACTGCAAAATGTCTCGGAAAGAAACTCCACTTGTCAGGACTGTTCAGGGGAGACAAATGTGAGGCATGAAAGTGGGACACTAAAGCACAAATGAGTAACAGCAAGCAAAAGGGTCAAAGTCATTCAGCAAGGAGGGCAGGGGAAAGGGAGAGATATAGGAGAGGATGTCAGAGAAAAGGTATAGGCCAAAAATTGCAGCTATGAAACAGGGTGAACAGCTGTGTCTGGTGTGGCTAACAGTTAAAATTACTGTTATGGAAAATCAGAATTGAAGTTGAGAAGACTGTGATCTATCTGGGAAGATGTCGTGAGAAACCCTTTTGAGGAAGGCTACAGGGCAAATGGAGAGAAACTAGTAGATGTGCAGGTTGTGCTACTTATTTGGTGAACGTGGAAGGGCAGATGAGAGAGGCCTAATTGCAATTAATACTGGCACTCCAAAGAGCCTAGCACATTTGTCCACTGTAATTCTAGAGCTCTAAGTGCCAAAAATGACTTCTTTTTAATAAATAGCAAAGAAAAAACTCTCATCACCTACATCATTATTTAATAATAGGTTTAAGAGACAGAAGGACATATTAGATCATTCAGACTAGCCATCTCAAGGCAGTGTGGGCTTGCTCTCTGCGATATATTCCCATACAACTTGTGTGGTTTAAAAGTGAATTGCTCCAGTGACCGGGATTCCTGCTCTACATTTGGAAGTGTTGCATACTCCGACCCTCATTGATAGACCACTTTTTTTTTTTTTTCCTTATGTCTGTTCTAAGCATTCCCTTCTGCTTATTCTGCTATACAGTTCCCCAGCATTTTGAATTAAATAACATCCTTCAGAGCAGACTGTTCTCAGACTAACAGAGAAATCTCGTGAAGCAATGCAGATCCTCTAAGATGTTTTACGGCCTTTTGGCAAAGAAACCTGGCTAAGTTTTGTCCAGGGTGTTCTAATAGAGCTCAGGAGCATTTTAAAATTAATATAAATTTGAAAGATATATTATTCTCAGGCAGAGATATACTACAAGTTCTTTTTAAGGTTAAAAACAGACTTTTATAAACATCTTGAACTTGATTCAAAGGAGAAGAAAAAAAAAACTTTTCCTAAACTTAGTTTCATTTATCAGATGCTTCTTATAATGGCTGAGTGCTTATGTGAAAAGTGGTAGTTTAAAATTGGGCTTTTGAATCCAAATTCAGGTGCCTGGAAATCTGATTTTTTCAGCACTGCTTTAATTCTGATTAATTGTGGGGAGGGAAAAAAAAAAAAAAAGGTTCAGCACAGTTAAATGCCTAAATATAAATTTAGTAGCCTAAATGCAGCACTTAATTTTTGACTCAAGTTCTTTTTCATATTAATATGTTCAGAGTTCTCCTTGGGTTGCTTTTAATTTTGCAGAAACACTTTCACTTGCTACATACTTACCAAAAGTATTGGTCAGATAGTGTTAAGTAGTTTTGCAGTTGAAAAAGGGGCCAGGCAGATTAGAATAGTAATATTGTTCTGTAGTTCAAGACCACTTTAGCAAAAGCTAAAGCATTTGGTTTTGCTGAAGATTTCTATGAGCTTTAGTCATTGCTGAAAATGGAAAAGTGCACAGGCTGGGAAGTACAGCTGAAACTGCTCTAAACTTCGCGCACAAAAAATTGGTTAGACAGCCTAGCACAAGTATTTATGTGTGCACTTATGTTCAAAACATAAGTTACACTGTGAGAACTGGTGTTTATTGCAAGACAGAGAATAACAAAATGTGATACATAAATCAATGACACCTCTTTCGTCTTAAAATGCATTAAATCTTGGTCTAAATTAATAGGACGTATAGCAGAAACCAAAGTAGTCCAAAAGAGAATAGAACAGTGGAAATAATTAGACACCTGGAAGGACTTTCACATGAGGGAAGAAAAACCAAACATTCTCTTCATATGAGTAAGAAGGTATGTAGGGGGATGTTATAGGAGCATGCAAAATAACTAGTGGTAGAAAGAAAAGGAGAAGCCTATAACATTGAAAGATATTCTCCACTAATAAAAGTAGTACTTGATTAAGGAAACACTACATAATACTTAGATGAGGGCTTGAAAAAGATGCGTCCCCTTAAACTTCAGCTGGAAATTTGAAAAATTAGCACAACCTAAGCAAGGTATTGTGTCTAGAGGGTCAGATTGTCAAAATGGAGACACCACACAGGTAGGAAAAAAGGAGCTGAGGTACTACAAAATATGGCTAAATCACATGGTATTTTGAGAATATCTGTGTAACTTGATTGCATGTACAACCATAAATTAAATGTAAGTGCATATATTATTAGAATCAAGAAGTCTTCCACAAGATGAATCACAGATAGCAAAACGGTGTTCTCCTTTGTGTAAGTTATAGGATTCAGACTTCGCTGAGGGAACCTGAAGGCATTTTTAAAACCTTTTTATTATTATTTTTATTTTAAATGAATGGTACTGCTGAATGACTTAACCCGAAACTAAGCAGGTGAAAATCATTGTTCTTTGATTACAAAACATGAGATAAACTTCTTCCAGTAATGATATCAGAAGATTAATTTTTGCATTAACTTAAATAAATTGGGGCACTTTGGGAAGTCTGCCTGCTGAGAGTCTGTGATGAATTTAGCCTGAGCTGGGTAGAGATACGAGGTTGAACAGAAACTGCTTTGGTTTAGCTTTACCCTCTGAGAAGGTTATTTGACCTAATGCTTATTACTGGATGACAGCTTACAACATAATCTTCTTTGGTACTTGCATCCCAACTAGATAATATTTGGAGAACTTTTGAAGGACATAAAGAAAAATGAGGAGGAGAGGAAAAAATGAAAAGCTACACAGAGGACTCTTTTTGCTTGCTCATTTTTCATATAGACGGACCTAAAAACAAAGTCCAGATCCACTTTTAATTTCAGTAATCTTATATACATGGAGTTTTCAAATATCCGCTTCTGCTACAGAATGTTTTTGAGGTAGAGGACACCTGTAAATCTTGGAGTAGATGGTGGATTTGATTTCCAAAATACCACCCACGTCTCTGTCCCAGAGTGAGTTATTCTAGGTTTTCAGTTAAATTTATTCCCTAAATATAGACACTCCGCAAGATCAAAAAATCTGCAATTGCAGGATACTATGGGGACACACACACCTCCATTTTGGCCTGTGTCTATGGCTAACTAGATTTGTCACATTATTTATTATCTAATTTTTAGGCAGGTGCAACAATCTTGGCAGGAGCTGCTGATAAATTTATGAAGAAATATATATATATTATATATATATATATATAAAGTTCTTCAGACACTAGCATTCCAAATGAACAGTTTTTTGAGCAATGGGGAAACTCAAAGTAACTTTTTATGGATTAAGTAACCTCCAAATTCAGTTTTGGATAAAGGTCTGAGTCTTTTCCACAACAAGAGAATAAAGAAGTAGAAACCTTGAGCTGAAGGCTTTCTTAATCACAACACAGATATTGCACAAGTATCCCTAGGACTGTAAAAACCCCTGGTGGAAGCTAAGAAATAGTTTGGATGGAGATCATAGCAGTTGTTTGCATAGATTATCAAAGATTTTATAATTATCTTTTTATTAAAACTGCTCACTTCCCATTCTACTTTGAAGTGACTTTGAGGATTAATTTTTATTTTTTAGTCTTAAAAGTATGAATGTAAACATAGGTAGTTTTGGCTCCTACTATTTCTTCCTATTCTGAGACTCTAAATTTTCCAGGATGCAAATATTATTAGGATTGTGTGTCCAGACCTGAAAGTTTAAGAACTCCAAACTGCTATTCCCCTCATTATCTACAGGTATTATGCCTATTTAAAAATATATTAAAAATGCATTATTTAAGTTGATTTAAAAGCATTGCTGTCACTGATAAAGAATAATTTATCTGTAATGCAATAGATCATATTATTAGAGGATCCTCTAGGACATAACATCAGAAATATTGCTTATAAAAGAACATGTATTGTGAATAGAGGGACATACAAATATGTTGTAGGGTGTCCTTCAAATTACACTACAGCATTAAGCAACAGATAATGCCATCATCACGCAACTCCAAACCAAATAATTCAGAAATATTGTTCATCCAGTGGGAAATTATAGTTAAAACCAAATGCCA